GTACGTAGTCTTTCATGTAGTCTTGTACCAACCTAAGGCCATAATTAAAGGTCAAAAGACGAGCTTGATATAATCATTATTTTACATTACCTTTTAAATAATATAGTGAAATCTCATCTTCTTTTTTTAAGGTTTTTTTTTTCTTCTTATGCAAATCTAAGTCCAATCTAACTGCAAAACATGTAAATGCAAAAGTCATGAAACTTGCAGGGTGATATGCAAGCAAACACACAATGGTGGGAAGTGCAAGTGTGAACGACAAGTAACATGGTGATAAGTGACGTGGGGATGCCACAAAATAACTGTGGAGTAATGTGTCGTTGGGAGGCACAAGTACTTGTCACTTGCATATGAGGTTATATGCTCAAAGATGCATGACAAGGGTGCAAGTGATGAATGTGTTAATGCAAAGTCATGCAATCAATACTAATGCACGTGTAAGACACACGCTATGCAAGTGGGAAAGACTGTTTGACCCTTTTGGTTGAATGAAATGGTCGACCAGGGGCGACATAGCTAACGGGCTCAGTTGAACTAAGGTGGCCGACTGAACCAAAGTGATTGATCGACTGGGTCGGGTCGGTCAGTCGAACCTAAGTGATCGGTTGACCAGACCAGGGCAACCAGTAGGAAAAAAATAGTCGGTAGACCATGCTAAAGTGATCAATAAGACCAAAATGATCGATTGACCGAGCTAGGGTGGCCAGTTGGACCAAAGTGGTCGACCGGCTGAGCCGACGTGGTCGATCAGACCAAAGTGAAAAGTTAATTGTGTTCGGGCGGCCAATCTAGCCAATGTGCAAGGTTGGTCTTGTTGGGGCGGTCGGTCGAGCCGGTGTGCTATGCTGACCAGGCCTGGGCAGTCGGTCGAGCCAACATGCAAGGTTGACTGTGTTGGGGCAACCAGTCGAGCCGATGTGTTATGCCCACCGGGCCACCCGACAATGTGCTATGTTGACTGAGCTGAGGCAGTCGGTCTAGGCAATGTGCTATGCCAACCTAGGGAGGGCGGCCGGTTGAGGCAGTGTGCTAGTGCAATCGGGTGGCCAGTCAAGGCAATGTGCTATGCTGACTGAGCTGAGGCAGTTGGTCTAGGCAATGTGCTATGCCAACTTGGGGAGGGCGGCCGGTTGAGGCAGTGTGCTAGTGCAACATGCTTCACGCAAAACATGTATCGTGACACAATACAACATGTAATGCAAATGAACATAATTGATAACAAGCCGCACTCATCTAACGATCTCACGTAGGCACCTAGGGTTTAGCACATAGATAAGCGGCATAGCCGCCTACTGCTTTGGTGAAGCGTGTGGGGAGCTTAATCTTTGAATTTCTAAAAATAAAACTATCAACAATGTTGTGGAATGGACTAGCTACAAAGCTTTTCTCATTCCATAACTCCTCATGATTTTGCAAAGTGAATTAATTACAAGCTTTTCTCATTTCACAAAATCCAAATATCCCAGCCCCTCCAAATAGGTTGGAAATGCCAAAGCAAGAGGAAATTAGGATTTCAACCCATTAGGATTTACGTCCAGGCTTTGCAATGGGAAATCACTCAGCTTCGCAAAAGAATTGGCTACACATGTGCTTCGTAACCCATGGCTTCCTCTAGGAAATAAATAGCCAATCAATGGGTGTGTGATCGTGTTGACTAGTGTTGGCTGACCAAATTGCCTAGCGTGAGTGATTGAACCCATGGCAACATGGTCTACTCCTAGGTCTGGCTAAGAGAAAAAATACAAGGGTTGAGAAGGTTATATTGTCACGGTCGTTGATTGAAGTCCAGTCGTTGCTCGGGAAGAAGCTATATTCGTCTTGAAGAGATTCCAGCGACACTCTAAGTACCGGCCTCTGCTCTCCTCGGGTGATGAAGCTCTTCTTGCATCCAGTCGTTGCTCGGGAAGAAGCTATATTCGTCATGAAGAGATTCCAGCGACACTCTAAGTACCGACCTCTGCTCTCCTCGGGTGATGAAGCTCTTCTTGCAAGGAGTTTTTCGGCGCTGACACAACATCAGGCTTCGCTCTTTCTCTTTGTTTTCTTGGATCGAGACAATGACCGAGAAAGAAAACATGAGAGGAGAATGAAGATAGAAACAGAGAAGAGGAAGAGGAAGAATGGTGAAGAAGCTCTCTGATAACTCTTCAAAACTCTCCCTCGAATCTTGGTCAACACTCTTGGTTCTCCCCGGCTCTCTGTGATCACTCCTGGCTCTACACAAGTAATATGAGTGCGCTCTCCCCGCAAATCACCCCCCGCAAGAAGGATATTCACAGAGGTTCAAATGAGCACTTGCTTCTTTTAGCAAGTAGTCAGGTTAGCTCAAAGGTCATTTTTGGCTTAAGACCGGTCTAACAACTTATCTTGGCGATCAAAGGTGCCCGAATGGAAAAGGGGACAAGGCAATGAAGCATATTGATTATGCATGGCATGACCACGCTACAAATTGGGCATGGCCAATCATGGGCATAGTCACACCCTCATGGGGGCGTGCCCACACCCTCATGGGGGTGTGGCCACACTCAAGCATGGTGACACCCATGTAAGTGTGGTTACGCCTAGCTTACTTAGGGTTGTTTCATGTTCTCTGACAATTCGGGCCACATGGTAAGACTTGGAAGGCCTTTCTAAGCAAAAACGTGCAGACGCATCCACGATGGCCATTCTACCATCCAGAGTCATCTAAAGGATAATTCCTCGGGAGTAAGCCAATTTTGAGCTTGATGTGTTCGCATTGCGCCAAACAAAACTTATTCGGTCGGGTTCCTCCCATCAATGTAATGTCGCCTGGCCTTGCCTCATCGACGATGAAAGCCTAGCAAAACAATCTTGGCCATGTGCTTGTCGGGCAAAATTTGGTCGGTCACTTAAAAATAGTTTATATTAATATATATAATTTTGATTTTGAAATATAGTATTTTAATTTTAAAAAATGAGACCAAATAAATTTCATATATCAGATAGTTTAGATAGTTGAGCACTATACCACAAGTAATACACTGCCCGAGGGATAAACATATCACTTGTTAGTAGGCTCAACCATTTAAACTAAAGAGTTTATGACATCCATTTAGTCTGCAAAACCTTTTTTTGTATGACCAACAATTCTCCTACCTAATGTAACGATTTAGTAAGACTTATTTTACCTGGGTTCTTAGTTCCATATAGTGGCAAGACCCTATAGTTAATTACCAAAAAGAACTAAGTACCCTAGGAAAGAAAACTCCAACTGTCATATTCAATCCTATGAAGTGAGAAGAAATGTGTATGCAACTTATATCCAACTCAAAAGGGGGGTCCATAGGCCGTAGTGACATGACTCAAAGAATGGTTTGGAGGCCGCAGAGGCATGACCATAAAGACAAATCCAGAGGACTTAGTGAAATGACCTGAAATATGGGTCCAAAGGCCGTAGAGGCATGACTTAGGGGTGAACGAAGTGTTAGGGATTCAAATATCTGCAACAATAATAAGAAATCTTGAGGGACATATCTAAATTAAGGAGTACACAAGGTACAAAAGTTGGGTTATCTCGTGAACTCGAGTCATCTGAATTGTCTTCTAGTAAGAAACTAACCAAGCGTTTGTTATGATTTTTGTTGAGCGAAACACCCATAGTTCATTCAGAAGGCTAAGAAGCCATGTGGATTCTTACTAAAACTACGACTAGTTCAGCGACTGAACAATATAACTACTCGAGAAGGCTCAGTCATCTCTCATAACTTAGGTCATTTATTTACAGGTAGAGGAGGAAGGTAGATGGAACTCTAATACTGCAGGAATTGATCATATTAAGAGGGAAATCACTAAGATTCACATTTGATTATGAGATCTGACTGAGGTATGAGACCTCAAATACCTGCTGCAATAAGGTGAAATGCCACTGAGGCTTGTATTCAACCTTAAGGGGTATGCAAGGCAAGAAGGCTGGATTATCTCCTATAATCCAAGTCATCTAATATATCTTCTCTTAAGAAACTGACTAAGTGTCTGATGTGGTTCTCGTCGAGTGAGACATTGATAGCTCAATCAAGTGGTTAGAACGTCTGACGTATTCATACCTTAACCGTAATCAGTCACTAACTAAAGAGTATTGCTAATCGAGAAGTCGTCGAGTGAGACATTGATAGCTCAATCAGGTGGTTAGAACGTTTGACGTATTCATACCTCAACCGTATTCAGTCACTAACTAAAGAGTATTGCTAATCGAGAAGGTTGGATCATTTCACTTGACTCGAGTCATCTGTTATACTTCTTGCAAGAAACCGATAAGAGTTAACTGTAATTCCCGTTGAGTGAAGCACCCATCACAACAACCAGAAAGACAAGGACATCCTAGTGGCCAGAAAGACAAGGACATCCTCATTGACGTGACAATTGACTAATGACTCTAACAATGTAGTCAATCGAGAAGGCCTGATCACTTCGTATGATCCAAGTCATCTATTGTGCTCTCAGAGAGGAACCAACTAAAACATCAAATGGTCCGAGTGGCACCGAAATAGGTGAAGGTAAAGTCAGAGATGTCAAACGACGACAGGTTCTTGTGAAAGGGCCGACCAAAAGAGTCACGAAGCTTGAGATACATCGTATGTTAGATGAACGGAGCGGTCTGGCAACCCAAAATATCTTCACAAGAAGCAAGCTCGGCAATTCTTACTTTAATAATAAATAAATAATTTATTAAACTAATCAATCTTTAAATATAATTTTATTAAAGTAATTTCAATTTCATTAACTCTTGTTTAGCATGTATCAAATGTATTTGAATTAATTAGATTATATTTGACATAAAATAATATATCTATGAACTATTAATTAGTGATTGATTGTTAATAAAATTTAACTTAATGAAATTATTAAGAAAAAAATATGTTTTAACTATTATTAATTAGTAAAACTGCCTTGAAAAATTTATAACATTTTATACTAGTTTTTTTTTTCTTGTTTTTAAAATCAATATATTTTAGGTAATATATCTGAACATAATTATTTTCTTTCGCTGCCCGCTCGAAACTTCAGTCGCGACCAGTTCTTGTTCGCCGGAAAGCGCGGAAGACGACGAGAGGATCACTGCGTCGGAAGGAGAAGAGAGGTTCTTTAAGCGGTGGTGAGCCCGAAAACCTCTTTCTCTCCCCTCCGCTCCTAACTGACACCCTTACAAGGAGGTAGCGACAGGGGACTGCAGGTGTATCTCCCTCGTCTTTCTCCCTTTTTCCCGCCTTTCTGTTTGCTAAATCCTCTAAACCCTGTCGAACTCCCGGATTTAACGAATCGGGATTTAGGCCGGAGGTCAAATGGGATTTAAGATTCTGCAGGATTTAAAATGTAAATTTTTTGTTGCTTTTCAGGATTTGCGCTAAATCCTGCGTAATTTCTGGTTAAATACGGCAAACAAACAGGCCCTAGGTGGAACTGATAATGACATGGTGCGGGGAATAGGTATTTGCTTCCTAATTTTTGAATGGTTTTTTTTGCTAGTTGCTTTGGTTGTTTCGTGCTCCTTTTGTATTTTATTGATTGTTAATTTCAGGAGGTCTCATTTAGTTTTTCTGACCATAATTCTTTATTTTAATAAGCCATGTCTAGATAAGGATAATGATGATAATAATTTCTAATTTTTAATCAGGCCTGATTCACATGGGAACAAATTCCGTTTTTGTTTTCTTTGATAATGTTGTGCTACCGCTGCTCTGTTGACTTTATGCATGGTGAAATGAGTTGTGAAATGACTTTTTGTAAATTATATCTTTTGTCGCTGAACTAAATAGGGTTATTTTAGCGTTTCAAATCGAATGCTTTATCATCACCAAGCAAAAAAGAGCTAGGGAATATGTTAGGTATTAGCTTCTCAAATTCTCGATATTGTATGCATAATGATTTTTCTAATTGCAAACCATCCATAAGGTACTCTGCAGAAAGGTTAATAGACAATCCAAAAAAAAAGGAGCAACTTGTGAGACTTATCATCTTAAACATCAAGATTTTAACAAAAAAAAGCTTAATAAATAATGATTGAATGGAAGTGAAAATTAAATCATTGAAGTCCATTGATAAATGGATAAACACAAAGATATTACACTCAAATTAGTGTTAAATATGTCAGCCTTTATCACAACTTGACATGAAACTTTTTATTTTATTTATTGTTAACGTTGCCAATATACCATATGTAGTCTCAGTTGAGATGTGAGCTTCCAGCAAAGCTGTATGATTGTAGATAAACTTTAGAAGACTGGCCACAAAAAGTGTAACGAAGTATGAATACACACTTGACCATATTGCTTATCTGTGTGGTTGTATTACTTTATGATCATAATTTTAATATTGAGCAAAAAACCATATATTGTAGTTTTTGTGACGTTTATTGATTATTTGCAACCCTGAACATGAGCTGAGATGGTTGGCTTCTTAATCAACTCTTCATATGACTTATTTGCTTGCTTGTAGATATGAAACATATTTTGAAAAATAATGATTTCATTTTTATTTGTTTTGAGTGAGATAATGAAATAGTCACTTCTGAGGATTGTGGAGTTTAAAATCAATGTTTTTACTCACTAAATCCAACCAAACAATGGATTTAACAAATTTCATAATTTTAAAGGCATTTTTTGCTGACTTTAAGCAACCAAATGAGACCTTATCATACTTCAATATAAAAACTTATTTTTTCCTTCTCAATCACCAATTCTTAAGTACTTGAATAGAAAAACATAATTTGCTAAAGAGTTTATCTAAAGTTTAAAAATTTTTAAATTAAATATGAAAACTAGTTTTTTCAAAAAGAATAATCATTGTAGACAAAGCTAATAGCTATAATGCAAGTTTACATTTTATTTATGATAATTCAGATTAGATTCTTCAACTTGAATCTTTCTCCTATTAGAATTACTGCATGAAAATATTATTCTGCTTTAAATGAAGGTATGGTAAATTTACCTTACAATTCCTAATACCCAGTTGTATAAACAACTAGCCTCCTCCACCCACTTTACAACACTCCACTTCTTTACATGTTTTTGACCTACTATTTATTGGGTTCGTATTTTGGTTTCACTTGTTAATTTGTCTTTTTTTTTTAGGGTTATTTATGGAAAATTTGGACTAGGAACAAAAGAGATTCTTAGTTTATGCATATTTCTACTCAAGGTACTATTTATTAGGATCTTTTGGATGTATTTTTTAAAGTTAGTGCACAACTGAGGAATGAGATTTCATGGAGCCATATAGGTGATTTTTGGAAAGTTTGAAAAGATGACCTTAACATTTTAGTTTAATTTTGAAGTTAAGAGGCGAACTCTTTTTATTAAGATATAGGGAAATTTTCATAGGTAGCACATAATTTTTATATATTTAAATATTTCACTCCTAAACATTCATATTTACATACATAGCACTTTGATGCTTTAAACTAATGCATGAAAATGTATATTTTACTTTTTAAAAATGGTAATTAATGCTATTTTTTATGTGATGTTATAGATTTGAGTGTTATTTGTGTATATATGAAAGTTTTGGTGTGAGATGTGTAAATGCATAAGAATTGTGTGCTATGTAAACACCAATTAAATATATTATAGATATTGGTAATTCGAGAGATCAAGAGACTAAGTTTGTCTCCATCAATCCTTAATCATTTTATCTTCTCATCTTCATGGTTCAAAACCTTGGATTCTTCTTATCTAAATTCACAAATATAGTGTATGCTCGTAAACATATGTCAAATTTCTCTGCATGTCTAAATGCTTTATACCCTTTTCTCCTAGACGTAACCTCAACTTCTTTTTGTGCTCATGGTTATCATTTTCGTCTTAAGATGAAGTTTATTATTACTTTTTACTGCTATTTAATCCATTCCGTCTCAAGATAAAGTTTATTATTACTTGTTACTGCTAATTAATCCATTCCATCTTGAGTTTATATCTGAAAATACGTTTAAAAATGCTCTACTAAAACATATGGAGGTACATTTTCAGGTTGCAGATGTTAACAATCATCTTAGTGTGCACATGCTTATCATATTTTTCTTGATACCAGAAATTCTGAAATGGTTTGAATAATGGATGTAATTTTCAGGCAAGAATTTGGTTTGATCATTCAAATTAGATTTATGGCAACCAAAGTCCCAAAATGAATATTTTTTTTAACCTTTGAAATTGCAAAATTTTGGGGTGTTTTGATGACAAACATGCGATTTAAGCAATTTTGTAGTTTCACTAAACTTGTATTGTCATGATTGCTTCTCTCTCTCTCTCTCTTTTGGGTTCTTGAGTTTTTTTTCTTTTTGCACAATTTTCAGTTGCTTGGCCCTTGACTCGTTTATGTTTTGCGTTAGCGGCTTTCTCCTTTTGCATTTCTTTGTTGCAACATTGCTCACTTGTTATTACATATTGATATTCATGTTAAGTTTTAGACAAATTAACACATTCCAAGACTTTTGTTCCCTTAAATAGCTTGTCTTCTCTCTCTCTGAAATCGTATATATTACCTGTCAAAGCTTATGTTGTGTGCATAAAAAAGAATTGAAAATTTGATATTTAATAATATGTTTGGTTATGACTATAAAAATACTCGTCATTGACAACTTATATTTCTTTTGTAATTTAAAACATATACTAAATAATTTGAAACCACATTTATCTTTACTTAATAAACTATGTGAGTTTGGAACTAATGGCATCATAGAAGGACAATGGCAAAGCCCTTGAAACTAAGCTCTGTGAAGATATCCAAAGACCCAACCAAGTATTTTTTGAAAGTAAAACAGCACTTTCGTCTCTAAATTTTAACTGGTTTAGAAACTTTGGTCCTCCTGTTTTCTAATACTCTTCCACTATAGGTTGTGGGGAGGGTTAAATTGGTTTTATGCTATTCAAACAGCGGTGTTAACTTTTCTCAAGACCTAAATCTTCTCATGATGACTGTGTAAGGAGCACTATCTTGATTTAAAGTATTATATTGAATGCTAAAAAAAATGTCTAGAAACATTTCATAAAGTACTAAAGAGACTTGGGCATCATTTTGGGCTCTTTTTTTTACTACTTCGGTGATAGAAAATCATACAACAAAAAGGAATGTTTATTTGGGTTAACTCTTTTATTTCTTTTCCCGTGATTTGCTTTAAAAAGGTTGCTTCTGAGGAAAAAAATTAGAATTTGCAGTTGCAAGAGCAACTTTAAAAGCTCTAATAACAAAAGTAGAAAAGAGTAAGCTGCCATGAGGCCTTGGTAAAGTGAGTTCTTGGTGAAATGAGTTGCTTATTGAAATGTGGTGGTTTGATTAACCAATCTTTTTAATAAAATTTTGAAGGCAAAATTGACGCCAATTAGCTAAAAAATAAATGTTTTGGTAGCAATATTTAGTTATATTCAAGTAGTTGACTATATGGGAATCAAACTTATGATTTATACAAGAAAAGTTTGAGTAATAAAATATAGACTTGAAAAATTATGTTTTGAAGCTATAATATTTGTTAAGGCAATTAATGGAGAAGTATATAGAATAAAATAAATTGCCTTCATATAATTTTTTATTAATTTTATATTATATATATGATTGAGTACCATCGAAATTGCCTTGGTGAAATTTGAGGTAGAATGATATGTATTAAAGATATGTTGATGTTATTGAAGATTATATGATGGAGCACTGATTAATATTAGAAGTTGTTATTGAGTGTCTTAAGTTTTCAATTATCTTAGGTTTATATTTGGGATTATCATTGAGTCCATATCCCGTTATATCATTTATGGAGAGTTGTTTATAAAGAACGTTTAAGGCGAGGGCTTTGACACATGTTTTTTTGCATATGTTATCATTTAAATTAGTGAGATGTCTATTTAGGTAAGGGAAAATTTGAAGTAGTGGAGGAAATATTTTGAAGGTATAGTTTTTAGAATTAGCAGAATAAAAATCGAGCATATGATATAAAATTTTAGCGGGTATAGTGTTAACAATTATCATTTGATATTAGTAGAATTTAAGGTGATATTTCAATGAGATTGATTAAAGTATCTTGGATAAAGTTATAACTTCTATAGTTCTATGGTTAAGGGCAAATACCTAAAATAAATAAATGTTTTAGGAGCTGTATATGATAAAATGATATTAGGTATGCCTAAATTTAAATTTTTCAAAAATCAAAATTTAGCTGCCAATGTTTTATAAGTTCAAATATTGGTTGTAAAAAATCATTGATATATATATTGAGTGTGATAGAAATGAGGATGTCAAGTTGGATATGTGAAAATTAGGAGGGATAAGTTAGTTAATGATTATAGCTGAGGTATTGTTGGAGTGACATTTAATGAAAGCTAAGTTGCCTTGAAATAGGTTTAAGTGAATTTGACATGTATAATTTATTGTAAAAAATGTGTCCAGTTGGCAAGATAATATTAGAATAATAAGGTTAGAAAAGAAAGTGATTGTCCTAAGGTTATGCATTATAAATTATTTAAAATGATATGCTAATTATTGATTCCTAAGTTCAAATTCATTATAATATGAATTTATAACTCCAGCCCCAAATAGCTAGGATAAGGCTATTAATGATGGGGCCAAGAAGATTTACTATGAAAGTTTTTTTCTTAAGACAAATATTAGAAAGTAATAAAGAACATCAAAATTTTTTAATATGATTTATTTTTTTTTAGAAGAAATATGATTGAGTACTATAAGAATTGATTTATTTTGCACATCAAGAAAAAAATGTGTATTAAAATTATGTTAAAATTTTAAACGTATGCATGATGCAATACTAATATTAAAAATAGTTGTAAAGTAACCACATTGTTTTCAATTATAGTAGGATTATTCAAAGAATCAACATTGGACCTATATGGGTGGAACCGACCTTTTTTTTAGGGCGGTGTCAAAAAAATACAAACAAATAAAATGAATAGCCAAATTTGCTATTCTAGTTTGAAATAAGAAGACAATATTTATCATTTTTTCAAAGTGTTTCTCAAGGATCATACCCTGATTTCATGAAAAGAATTGCGGGGAAAGTTGATTGAATATAATTTTTTTCTATCAATTAGAGGTACAAAATGCTACACAATGAGGCATAACCTAAAATATAGGGCATCTAAAGATGTTTCAAATTACCTGAAATCAAGCAGCATATGAATTTATTACAAAAAAAAAAGTTAAAAATCATTTAAAGTAGCAAATTTGGTTGTTGATTTGCAGAACATTATTGATAGTATCCCAGGTTTCGTGCTATTTAATTGCTGAATTTGCAATTTTAACACCCTCCCTCCCTCTAAGAAAAATAATAATATCAATACATTTTATTCATATGCAAAATTTTTTTGAAAATATAATTCCGTGATAAATTAAAATAAAAATATTCGTAAAATAATAAATATTTTATAATAAATTAAATAAAAACATATATAGATATCTTACTTCTAAACTAAGTATAATTCCTTAAATGTCTAAATCCGCACGGACTGGATAAATTTATACTATATTAATTAAGTAAATTTTTTAACAACTATAAAGCAAAAGTATCAAAATGAGTTACATCTATAATTTAACAACCAAAATAATTGAGATTTATGGACTTAGCTTTACCTTTAGATTTTACAACGGCTTTCAATAAAATATTTCCAGCAAACTCGGGGAAGAGGCAAAGTGATGATCTAAGTTATCTACACACCGCAGATCAATAGTGGTGTGAGTAGACGCATCGTCAGCAAATCCACTAGTCATTAATATCGTTGGTCTAGCTTTTGTTAATCTATGGCTTCAGGTGATTCTTCCTACTGGCGAAGAACACGTCGTGGAGAGGAGAACGGAGAAGGCATGTGAAATCAGAAGTTGATTGGAGTGAAGGGGCAAACCTATATTCAAAGGGGGCAAATGCCTGCTCATATAAGTGAAAAGTCTGAAATTCAGGGGGCAATTGCCCCTCTTGGCGCAACGTGAGTCCGCCTTTGATCTTTCTTATTGGTTATGCAGATGTTTGCTAACGATATTCAAAATGATGTGCCTTGATATGTGCATTAGTAATCCTATTTAGTGAGACAATAATTGAAACTAGTAGAACATGATGTAAATTATTTAGAAGATAGAATGCTCAGAATTAGTAATATCAAACATTGAGTTTATAACCTGTAATTTTATTTGGTAATTAATTTTAATAATTTTAGTCAATATTATTGAACAATCGCGTGATATGTAAGCATTAGGTGTGATTGATTTAGATAATTTAAATTATTATATAAAAATGTAGATAATATAGAAGGATACAACTTATACAATTAAAGATCAGTGATCAGAATGGAGTGAGTGCATGAAGTCTTAAAGGTAAATTTCAAGCAATTTGGGTTGATGATGTTGTATGAATGGAAGTATTTGATAGTAAGAAGGTCATTGATAGCTAAGTTAAATGTGGGAAAAATGAAAATATTAATATGAATGCATGAAAAAAATAAGGATATTCACATAATGCATGATAATATTAGAGGAATAGTTGGAGTGACAACTATTGAAAATAAATATGTGAAAAATGCACTTATTAGAAAGATAAAATTAGTTTTGAAGGATGATGAAGGAGAAGAGCTAATCCTAAGATAATATGAATTGAAGTTGTTCAAAATGATTTGCTTAGAATAAGCAGCTTAGGTAATAAAAAACATGAACAAATGATAAATGAAGTTTCATGAAGCTGAACACAAATAGTTGGATTATTGCTAATGATGATGATGAAGTAATATAACCATGAAAAAGATTTACCTCAACACTTTTTTCGTCCTTGAAGTAAACTTGTGAAATCCAAGCTGCATGGATGGCTTAAATGTGATGAAATATTCATAATTTAGTTCAATAAATTTACGCTATCAGCCTTTCCAAATCCCTCAGTGAAGCATTTTTATATAAAAGACAATTATATTATCGTTGACTTACTGCTTAGCTTTTACTTTTTTATAAATATTTGTATGATCCTATAACTTTCATGCAAGTAAATATTAAAAAAGTAATTGTGAATTGTGTTTTAAATGTTTATTTTCATGCTAATCATTATCTTCATTCTACTAGTTGAATTATGTGACTTGTAATTAAATGTACTCCGGTGAAAAAGTAGGTGAAATTCTCTATAACTTTTATATTTCTAAGTGCTAAATTCGTCTGTAAACATTCTATAATGGAGTATAACTTTGAAAAATTGAACAATGTTTTTTGTATCACGTCAAATTTTACTTTAAAATCGTATGAGCTTGCAACATCGTTTTATTTATAATCTACCTAGTATACTTAATCATTCACCTTTTATGTATAGAATCCAGAATCTTCCATAAGGTTCTGATCAAATACTAATATTGAAGATATCCATTCTACCTTTGCTCTACGTTATATAATGAATGCCCTTTTGGCTACTTATTAAAAGTAAAATTTTCCCTATTATATTGATTCTCTTGAATTTCAAACAAATGACTTATTCTAAATGCCACCAGTGACGGTTGGCAAGAGAAGAGAAAGATCAATTAAGTAAAACAAAGCTGAAGAGTGACTATAAGCGACTAAGTGGATTGTTGGTGAGAAATGCAGTTTTCATCCTTTGCTCACATATTGCAGTGGGAGAACCGGCTGCACCTTTGTTGTGTAGCCACCCTCATTGGCCTCATCCTTTTAGTAGCCACACCAACGATTCCTCATTCACCCACCCAACACATTTTTGCTGATATGCGCAACTTCTTAGGTATTTGTTTGGGGCTTTTGTTTATGGAAACCTACATCATTTTTCCTTCTTTTGTCATCTCATTCTTCTACCAATTTCATTCACTTTGATTTCTGGCTTTTTGACTATTCAGGGGTTCCCAACACGCTCAATGTGCTCACAACTTATCCCTACCTGTTCTTTGGTGTTCCTGGCCTAGTTTTCTGCCTCTCTGGTAGTTGTTTTGGCATCAGGTATGGGTTCTTCTGAATGTTTCTCTCCTTTATTATAGCTTATAGATTACCATAGTTTGTTACAAATGGTTATTAGCTATTTGATGTAGCTTGAAAGGGGAATTATGGGGATGGGTTTTGTTCTATGCTGGGACTGCTGCAGCAGCATTTGGATCTGCATATTACCATTTGAAGCCAGATGATGATCGAATTATTTGGGAACGATTGCCGGTATGGATTTTTATTTTTTCTTATGACTGTTATTCTATGGTATGTTTTGATTATCAAATAAATCTATTGGATGTGATTGGAATTCTTTTTTGCATTCACCAGAACATTTTGTTTTATTTATTTTGAATATCTGTGAAATGATAAACTATGAGAATTGAAACCTGGTATGAGAGGGTTCATGATTTTCTCCTTTTTACAAGCACTAGGTTGGCATATGTCTATATCATTGTAAAATGTTATCCTCCAAGTCTATTTCTTCAATGAATCAGCAATATAAACTTGCAAACATTGTATGTTAAAAAATATTGGAAATATTTTCAAAATCAGTTTCTCCATTGACATTTATCTAATAGCTTAATAGAAATGTTGGCTAAACATGCAGACTACAAGGAAAGATGAAAAATGATATTCTGAGATATTGTTAAGAATTTTAAAGAAGATAACTTTTTTAGAAATGTGTACTAAATAGAAGTGTAAAATATAATATAAATTGATCTAAGAAATAGAACTTGAGCTCACTTTATATAAGATGAACAGAGCTACTGCTTTGAGTTCAAATAGGATGCCACTTAGGAGTTGGAAAGTCATATGTGTTGTTGATATAGTTTTGTTGACAAATTCTCTTCAATAAAATATTAGAAATCAATGTAATGCTATGTGATTGATTAGAATTATTTTAGTATTAGGATTTAGGGAAAAAGAGATGTTTTATGGTGCTACTTGGAGGTTGTAACCATTTTTTTTTTTGCCCGCTCCTTTTCAATTCTATCTCTTCTAGGTTAATTTCCGCACATCATTCCTG